CGTAAGCATCCGTAGTGTACGCGCCGCCCAGGTACCTGCGGCGATGGAACCAGTGACAACGTGACTCCCTGAACCGTTTAGGGTTTAGGGTTTAGGGTTTAGGGTTTAGGGTTTAAGGTTTAGGGTTTAGGGTTTAGGGTTTAGGGTTTAGGGTTTAGGGTTTAGGGTTTAGGGTTTAGGGTTTAGGGTTTAGGGTTTAGGGTTTAGGGTGACTCAGCAAAACCTTAGCCAATCCCAAGGGGATTTTGGCGAGTTTTTTGCCTTCGAATTCATGGGGCTTGTGCATTTCTGGGCCGACGGCAAAGAAGGCTTGGAGCTGCGAAGCTTGCCCCAACAACGAATTTCAAACAACGCAAGGCTTGACAGCCATGAAAAGAGCGCTTACTCAGACACGCGAATAAGCGAACCAAGGGTTTAGGGTTTAGGGTTTAGGGTTTAGGGTTTAGGGTTTAGGGTTTAGGGTTTAGGGTTTAGGGTTTAGGGTCTAGGCTTTAGGGACCAGCGCACCGAAGAAGCGTCCCGTTGCTGTCATAATCATGACGATCACTTGAAGGTTCATGGTACTTAGTAACCAACTATAACTGTACTTATAACTGTACTTATAACCATATTAGGGCAGTTCGGGGGCTTATAAGTACAGTTCTAAGTACAGTTATCATTTGGTTAGTAAGTACCATGAACCTCCAAGCAGTGTTTGTGGACGTGCATGGCCTCATGTCACTCGTCACTGCGGCAGTTCGTTTGTATTTGTCATCGTGGATTGATATCCCATTACTTGGAGGTTCATGGTACCTAATACCCCAAGTACAGTTGTGCTGATAACCCAATTATGACCACATTCGGGCACTTAAGGGGGTTATAAGTGGGATAGAAGTACAGTTATTGTTGGGTTATAAGTACCATGAACCTCCAAGTAGTGGTGGCAGTGGTAGCAGAAGAAGAATCAATCGCGGGGCGGGGGAAGGGGTGTGGGGGGTGGTGATGGTGGCGGCGGTGGTGGTGGCAGCGGTGATTCGCGGCGCAGGCGGTCGCCCGCGATCGTCATCGTCGTCGGAGTCGTCGTCGGAGTCGTCGTCTTGGTCGCTGCGTGCGTAGTGACAGTGCCAATCACCTTTAGCAAAGTGAACGAGGAAAGCAAGCCAACAGGACACCAACAAAACTACATGTTGTGATGTTCCCCCTTATACTAACCGTCCTGAATAGGAATTATAATAGGGGCATAATCCCTATGTAGGACTGCTAGTAAGGGGGAACATCTCAACCCTAAACCCTAAACCCTTACAAGGGGGAACATCCCAAACTGACGTCGCGGACCACAGGGGGGGCACTCCGCATAGATCTTGGCGCCACGCTTCTTGGCATGCTCCAGGGACTCGGCGCAAGCACAGGGCAACAAGGGAATTTTGGGTTTAGGGTTTAGGGCTTAGTTTTTAGGGTTTAGGGTTTAGGTTTTAGGGTTCAGGGTTTAGGCCCTGCAAAAGTCCGAGTCTTCCTTATCTTGCTGGGATGTTACCCAGGGGGGGGGGGGTTGGCGCCTGTGATCTTGATTAGACTCGGGAACCACTTGAAGGTTCATGGTACTTAGTAACCAACTATAACTGTACTTATAGCTGTACTTATCACCATATTAGGGCAGTTCGGGGGCTTATAAGTACAGTTCTAAGTACAGTTCTAATTGGCTAGTAAGTACCATGAACCTCCAAAAAAGGGTTTAGGGTCTCATAGTACTTGCATCCTGCCACAGCCACCGGGCTGGCTACTACTAAATATTTTACAAAAATACTTAATAGTTTTTGTAATGTATGTGAATTTAAAAATGTACATCAAAATGGGTTGTATCAAGGGTGCAAACCCTGAGCCTGTATACTGCTGCCCGACGTTACTGGATCCCAGTCCCCTCCATTGAGGACCTTGTAGGGTTCAGGGTTTACTTGAAGGTTCATGGGCAGTTAGAAGTAGGGCTATAAGTACCCGAAATAAGGTTACAACCAGTTATAATGATAGTTATCCTACTCATAACCCCACTTCTAACTACGCATGAACCTCCAAGCAGGGTCTAGAGTTTAAGCGTAATGAGGATGTTGGGTTTTGGCTGTTTCATGCTTGGGGCTGCGGCTTTGAGGCACCTCGCAGGAGCTGAACGTACTAGAAAGGGGCTACTTGGAGGTTCATGGTACTTAAGAACCCAATTATAACTGTACTTCTAACCCAACGATCACCACATTAGGGCACTTAAGTGGCTCATAAGTGGGCTATAAGTGCAGTTACTATTGTATCATGAACCTCCAAGTACAGCCAGTCTCCTCTCTACTGCGGGATGGCTCCTGGACCCAAACCCCGCCCGCCGCGCATTTTGGACCCAGCATGGGACATCCCAGACAAACCTGGGATACTTCACTTGAAACGATGGATTGTTCACCTCTGTACAAAAGTCCATTTATAATCAACTGCCTACAGGATTCCTTGTCGAGTGTGGGTAGCCCTCTCCCCCTACCCCCTACCCCCGGTCCCCACTAAACCTTGAATCCTTGAACCCTAAACCTGAAACGCTGAAGCCTAGACCCTAAAACCCTACACCCTCAAAACTTACAACTCTAAACCCTAAACCCCTAAACCCCTAAACCCGAAACCCGAAACCCTAAACCCTAAACCCTAAACCCTAAACCCTAAACCCTAAACCCTAAACCCTAAACCCTAAACCCTAAACCCTAAACCCTAAACCCTAAACCCTCCCCCGAGGTCTACGAGAAAGGGTGTGGCGCTGCACCGTATGTTAACACCCCCAGTGCCCCCTTTTTCTGCACCAGCGAGCGGAACGACGAAACTTTGACTCAGCACATAAGCCTGAGGAACCTAAAACATAAAAATGCCTTCTTGTCTTTCGGAACCCTGAACCCTATAAACCCTATAAACCCTATAAACCCTATCAACCCTATAAACCCGACAAACCCTATAAACCCTATAAACCCTATAAACCCTATAAACCTTATAAACCCTATAAACCCTATAAACCCTATAAACCCTACAAACCCTAGAAACCCTACAAACCTTATAAACCCTATAAACCCTACAAACCCTATAAACCGTATAAACCCTAAACCCTCCACCCTAAACCCTTGGGATGTTGTGGATCCCCAGTTTGAGAGAGAGGGGGTTTGGGGTTGAGAGGTTGCCAAGATGACGAACGATCCTGCCGGACTCCTCCCGAGAAAGCCCTCGACCCCCAGCCCTAAACCCTGTAACCCTTAAGGGTTTAGGGTTTAGGGTTTAGGGTTTAGGGTTTAGGGTTTTGGGTTTAGGGTTTAGGGGTTAATTAGGGTTTAGGGTTTAGGGTTTAGGGTTTAGGGTTTAGGCTTTAGGGTTTAGGGTTTAGGGTTTAGGGTTTAGGGTTTAGGGTTTAGGGTTTAGGGTTTAAGGTTTAGACCCTAAACCCTAACCCAAAAAATCAATAATATTCTTCTTTATAAGGGGATTACTATTTTTTGGGGGGGAGGGGTTCTTAAGCAAATAGTAGAAATGGTATAAGTTGTCCAATGCATGAGGGCTAAGCCACTAAAGTGAATCTAAGGGTGTCTTGGGTGTTGGGGAAGGGCCCCAATAAACCCTTAAACCCTCAGCCCTGAATCCTAAACCCGAAACCCTAAACCCTATACCACCCTATACCACCCTATACCACCCTATACCACCCTATACCACCCTATACCACCCCAAACCCTATACCACCCTATACCACCCTATCCTCCCCTAACCCTAAAGCCTCAATTCCTCTCACCTGCAAGGGCGCCGTCTCAACACGACCTGCGGTTCGCGAGCTCAAAAGGCACGAAGGTTTCATTTAGGGCAGGATGATGTTCCTCTTATGCACCCTGACATTGCGGGTTTAGGGTTTAGGGTTTAATATATCCTTCTTAGGGCACTTAAGGGGCTTACACCTGGAACTTGCAGGCTTTCGGGGCCCTGCGCAAAGGCTCTGGGATCTTCGGGCAGGTATTTCTGCCTACTCTTTGCTTAAGAACCCCCCCCCCAAAAAAAAATAATGGTAATAATATATATATATATATATATTCTTCCCTATAAGTGTAATAAGGCTATTATATGTTTTTTCTGGGGTTCTTAAGCCTTAAGCAAATGGTAAATAAGTAAAGGGCTCGGAACCCGAACACTAACTCGGCTCCTTGAGGCTCTAAGCGCACGTGGGTTTAGGGTTTAGGGTTTAGGGTTTAGGGTTTTGGGTTTTGGGTTTAGGGTTTAGGGTCGCTCAATTGGGGTCCCTTCTTGTGTGCCTGGGGGGCACGGTACCTGTCATTCATATAACTCACCCTTAAGGGCAGGAAACCCAAGAAGCGATGTTCAATGAGCACCCTGACCCCGAAACAGATTTTGGGGCTTAGGGGAGTTAGGGTGTAGAGTTAGAAGCCGTAAGCCCTAAACCTCAAACTCGAAACCAAAAAACCCTAAACCCTAAACCCTAAACCCTAAACCCTAAACCCCAAACCCTAAACCCTAAACCCTGAACCCTGAACCCTACTTTCAAGAACGACCCATGCCCGAAGCTTGTTTTCGCGCTCGCGGCGGGGCTTCCCGAAACCCTTCACGAGCCCACTGCTTGGACGCACCAAGAGGGGTGTAGGGTTTAGGGTTTAGGGTTTAGGGTTTAGGGTTTAGGGTTTAGGGTTTAGGGTTTAGGGTTTAGGGATTAGGGCCAGTTTTGGTTTAAAGTTCAGGGGTTTAGGGTTCTGGGTTTGGGCGTTTTAGGGTTGAGGGCTCGAGGCTTTAGATGGGTTTAGGATTTACGGAAAACCCTGAACCCTACATCCTAAACCCTAAACCCTCTGGAGCGGAATGAAGATTTGGAGAGGTTAGAGGCTTTGACCATACGTCTGTGACTGCATGCAGGGCCATGCAGGGGGGTTCGGCTCAGGGTCTGGGGTCTGGGGTCTGGGGTCTGGGGTTTGGGGTTTGGGGTTTGGGGTTTGGGTTTAGGGTTTGGGGTTCAGGGTTCAGGGTTTAGGGTTCAGGGACGGAGGGACATCACACTCCGCCCACTTGTTGCCGCCGAAACATGTCAGGCGGCCATCGGCGCGAAGGGCGCAAGTATGACCCGAACCCACTGCAACAGCGAGGACGGCACCCAAGTCATCGGGTACATTGCACTGCCCTGCATGATTTCGCCCGAAGCACACCAGCCGGCCATCTACACAGATGGCGCAGGTGTGGGCAACGCCTGCTGAGACAGCAAGGACTGCTCCAATATCTCCCGGAACGTCGCACTGCCCAAAAGAGTTCGCTCCGAAGCATATCAAATTTCCGGCTGTGCCTACAGCACAAGTGTGCTCCTGTCCGGCCGAAACGGCCACAACCCGTTCCAACTCGGTTGGGGTCTGGATCTCACGCCCGCCTGCTCCGAAGCACAGAAGCATACCGCTGGTCTGGATCGCGCACGTATGTGTGGTACCTGCAGAGACGCTCAGCACGGGACCCAACTTATCCGGCACTTGGCAGAACTTCGCCAAGCCGAAGCAAACCAGTTCCCCAATCGCCGTCACTGCGCAAGTATGCTTGTCGCCCGCGGAAGCTGCTGTGACAAGGCCTAAATCTTCGGGCACGTCGCACTGCCCATATTGGTTCCAACCGAAGCAGCTGAGCTGTCCATCCACCTGTACGGCGCAGGTGTGGCGGTGGCTTGTTGACACGGTGACCACTGGAGGTAGCCCCTCAGGGATTTCTCGGGCCTTGCGAACGCCGAACCGTACCAGGCGGCCATCCTGTCCCACCACGTACCTGTGCGCGTGGCACAACGCTTGCAGGGAAGTAAACTAAAACCCTGAACTCTAAACCCTAAACCCTAAAACCTACAAAATAAACCCTATAAGCCCCCTTATTACTGGCAAAACGATGTTTGGAGCCACAGGCGCGTATGGTGCCCGCTTGCAGACAGGTCCAGCACCGCTGCGCCGAGGTGTCCGGGAATGGACGGCAGCACGTACGCGAGGCCTCTCAGAAGAACTGACCCTCCTGGAGAGGTGAAGGCACGCCTCAGCAGGGTGAAGGCTACGTAGGGTTTGGGGTTTTTTTGGGTCTTCGGGACCCCCAAAACATACTTGTTCTTAGGGGCTGAACACCCTAACCTTGTATATGTGGTAGGATCCAACCAAAAGGACCCAATCCCCAAGTGCTTTGTAGGCCGCAAGCCATGAACCCTGAACCCCTTCCACAGTTTCTCAGGCAACGCTACCAACTGGGTTTGTTAAGAAGTTGAAACAAAGTTACCAAACGGCCCATAACAAATCTGCTACTTTGTATACTGCTCTGCCCTACTATGTTTAGTGGTAACTTAAGACTCTGGACAAGAGCCCATGTTAATCGGATGTTCAGCGTCCGGGCTCACAGGGCTTTGGCGGGAGGAAAATATCCCATGCCTTTGGCTTGAGTCGGAAAGCCTAAACCCTGCAACTAAACTTGTAAGAATCTTGGCCCTGTAGGGCTTGGAATCAAAAAAAACTGTCATTTTCAGTCATTTCGGAGTCATTCTGAAGTCTTTCTGCTGTTGTCATTTTGTTGAATCATTCTTGCGTTGTCATTTTCTTGTGGTTGTGTTGTCGGTGGTGGTGGTGGTGGTGGTGGTGGTGGTGGTGGTGGTGGTGGTAGTAGTAGTAGTAGTAGCAGCAGTAGTAGTAGTAGCAGTAGTAGTAGTAGCTAGTAGTAGTAGTAGTAGTAGTAGTAGTAGTAGTAGTAGTAGTAGTAGTAGTAGTAGTAGTAGTAGTAGTAGTAGTAGTAGTAGTAGTAGTAGTAGTAGTAGGAGGTATAAGTGCCAAAGATGGCCGCATGGGTGGTATCCTGTGAGGTCAAGCGTGGCACGAGTCACCACTTTCTGCGTCGTGATTTGCAGAAAATGAATAAAACGATAACTTGCTGACAAAGACGTAAGCCTTACGTAAGCAAGGAAGGAAGGGGATCTGGGGGGGATCTGGGATCTGGGGGATGGCAACGTGCGGGGAAGGGGGGGAAAAGGAAGGGGGGGGGGGGGGGGGAGGGCCATATGACAAAAAATGACAGATCAGGACAGAAAAATGACTCCAACCTGACAGAAAAATGACTCCAAAATGACAACAAACGCTCAAAGCCTCCTTCAATTTCCACCCTCCCCACCGTCCCTCCGCCCGTCCCGGGGGAAAGTCATTTTTTCGTCATTTTGGAGTCATGCGTTTGTCATTCTTTTTCATGTTTTCTGTCATTTTTCGAGTCATTTTTCTGCCATTTTGGAATCATTCTGCTGTCATGTCCCGACCCTTCTGTCATTTTTTTGTCATTTGGCGACCCCTTTGCCATTTGGTCTGTCATTTTTCTGACATTGTTCAATCATTTGCTCCAATCCTAATGTACGTCGTCCTCATCATCGTCGTCGTGGCGAGCGTGCGAAGAGGGACAAGGGTTCAGCAGTGTCGGTTTTGGGGGCCCATGTGGGCCACGTCTGAGGCCCTTGAAGCCCCAGGAGGGCTTTGGAGGGCCCATATGAACCCTTTTTGAGGGCTTTGCCTGGGCGCGTTTTGGTGTCCTTTACAATAATAATACTACAATACTACTGACTGACACATGACAAACAAATGAAACAAACATGACACAAAAATGGCATCAACATGACAGCAGCAAATGACAACAAAATGACAAATAAATGACAAAAATAATTCCTGGATATGTCCCAAGGTCTGCAGGAGAGATTCTTACAAGACTAATCCTCTATTCAACGGATGGGAATGGGAAGTGGGAATTTAGGGCGCTAGCCCGAAACCCGAGCGTAAGTACAGGGTGGGGAAACAAGACCAACCCAGCCTTTCTGGTTGTGGGGGGTCCAAATTCGATGCGCACAGCCGAGATATGCCACCCCTCACACCCTCTGGGTGTGTTGGGGCGCCATCTCTGCATGGAATCTCTGCCGCTGCGCGGCGACCAGAACCCTAAACCCTCTAAACCCCCCTAAACCCCCCTAAACCCCCTAAACCCCCCTAAGCCCCCCTAAACCCCCCCTAAACCCCCCTAAACCCCCCTAAGCCCCCCTAAACCCCTCTAACCCCCCTAAACCCGCCTAAACCCTGAGACCCTAAAACTCTAAACCCTCTAAAACCTAAGAATCCCCCCTGAAAACCGCCGCCTTGGCGCCGGCGCAGCCGGAGCACGTCGGCGCTTGCCGCAGCGCCCGCGCAGCGCCAGACCAAACATCGGGAGGGCTTCTTTGGGGTTAGGGTTTAGGAGTTTAGGAGTTTAGGAATTTAGGGTTTAGGGTTTAGTGTATAGGATTTAGGGTTTAGGGTTTAGGAATAGAGAATTTGGGGTTTAGGGGTTACGGGCTTAGGGCTTTAGGGTTTATGGGTTAAGGGGTTTCTGTTTCTAGGGTTGAGGGTTTTTTGAGCTTCTTAGAGTCTAGGCGTTGAGGGGTTGAGAGGTTAAGGATTCAGGGTTTTTGGGGGCCCAGGATTTAGGGTTTTTGGGACCTACGTAGGTTATGTGCTTTAGTTAACCCAGGGTTAGGCGTGAGGGGTTAGGGTTTAGGGTTTAGGGTTTAGGGTTTAGGGTTTAGGGTTTAGGGTTTAGGGTTTAGGGTTTAGGGTTTAGGGTTTAGGGTTTAGGGTTTAGGGTTTAGGGTTTAGGGTTTAGGGTTTAGGGCTTTGGGATGTAGGGGCTTAGGGTTTTCAGGGCTTCAGGGTCTTCATTCGGAGGCTTCAGGGGGAGGGGACCAGGCAATCCAGGAAATCCAGAGCCTCAGGGCTGAGGGCTCGCAGAAACTTTCGTTCTTTCGCTCTTTCGTTCTTGCATTCTTTCATTCTTTCATTCTTTCATTCTTTCATTCTTTCATTCTTTCGCTCTTTAATTCTTTCATTCTTTCATTCTTTCCTTTTTTCTTTCTTTCCTTTTTATTTCTTTCTTTCTCTCTCCTTCTTTTATCTTGCATGTTGTTGCTTTGTTTCTGTCATTTTGCATTTGTTCCTCTTTCGTTTCTTGGCCTTCTCTAAAGAATGAAGGCAGGAAAGAGGACCCTACAGAGAAAGACGCAAAGAAAGATCACGTGCATGGAATAAGGGTTTAGGGTTTAGGGTCCCTAAACCCTAAACTCTAAACCCTAAACCCTAAATCCTAAACCTAAACTCTTCTGCTCCTAGGCTTTGGTAAGCCCTGGGTGGTTCAGGGTGCAGGGTCCAAGGCAAAACCCTCAGCCTCAACCCTTAACCCTGAGCCCCTACACCCTAGACCCTCTCAACCCTTGTAGGGCTTCAAGTCGTTGACCCCGAACCCCGAACCCTAAACCCTAAACCCTCAACCCTACGCCCTAAGTCCCAAAACCCTAAAACCCTAAACCCTAAACCCTAAACCCTAAACCCTAAACCCTAAACAATACCTAGGACCTTTAGGCCTTGGAGTTCCAGGATTCACGGCATGAACGGCTAGAGCCCTACACTCTGAAGCCCCCAACTTCCGAAAGTCCCAGGAAGCGCTTAGGGTTTAGGGTTTAGGGTTTAGGGTTTAGGGTTTAGGGTTTAGGGTTTAGGGTTTAGGGTTTAGGGTTTAGGGCTCAGGGTTAAGGATGTGTTTCTTGGGGTCACGGGGATTCTTGGAAACCCCAACCCATAGCCCCAGTTTTCTTTTAGACCCTGAAAGCCCCCGAGCCCTCAAGTATCCCTGGGAGGGGAGAGAACTTCAGCTGCCAACACGCCGAAGTCCTAAACCCGACACCCTGAAACCCTAAACCCTGAACACCCCCACCCCCCCACCCCAGAACAACAACAAAAAGAACTAAAGACCTAAACCCTAGAACCCAAAACCCTACAATCAAAGGTGCCGAGAAACCCTAGCCCTAAACCATCCTGAACCCCTAAACCCTGAAATCCTAAAGCCTCAAACCCTGAACCCTAAAGCCCTTAGCCCTAAAGCCCTAAGCCCTAAACGCTTGAACCCTAAGCTCAGCACCCTAAAGCCCTACAAATTTAAAGCCCTAGGCCCTAGATCCAGAGCCCTACACGCTAAAGCCCTAAACCCTGAAGCCTAAGCTCTAAACCCTAAAGCCCTACAGCCCTAAACCCTAAACCCTGAACCCTACACCCTAAGCCCTGAGCCCTAAACCCCAACCCTAAACCCCCAACCCCTAAAGCCCCAAACCCTGAACCCTACACCCTAAGCCCTGAGCCCTAAACCCCAAACCCCAAACCCTAAAACTGAAGCCCTAGACCCTAGACCCTAGACCCTAGACTCCAGACCCTAAACCCTAAACCCTAAACCCTAAACCCTAGCCCTAAACCCTAAACCCTAGCCCGAAACCCTAAACCCTAAGCCCTAAACTCATCGAAGGCCTGGAGTTGCGGCGCACGGCCGCGACGAGGGCCGCGTAGTCAGGGAGGCCTCCAAGGGGTGGCCCGGAGGGGGTTTAGGGTTTAGGGTTTAGGGTTTAGGTTTTGGGGTTTAGGGTTCAGGGTTTAGGGTTAGGGTTCAGGGTTTCGGGTTCAAGGTCCAGGGTTTCGGGCTCAGGGTTATGGGGTTTGCGAGCCCGTCGGGTTTCGGTTTAGGGGCTTGCGGGCTTCGGGCTTGGGGTTTGGGGGCTCTGGGGGTTTGGGGGAGATGGGGGGCTCAAGCGCTTTTTGGAGATTTAAGCATTGGCATTGAGGGTTCAGGGTGCAGGGCGTGGGGCTTCGTGCCGAAGGTTTACCCTAAGTTTAGGGTTTAGGGTTTCGGGTTTAGGGTTTCGGGTTTCGGGTTTAGGGTTTAGGGCAGGGTTTAGGGTTTCGGGTTTGGGGTATGCACGCTTTGTCGGGGAGGGATGATGTTGGGGCACTTAGGCTTGAAGAAAAGACTTGTAGGTTGATTCGCGCATCTCACGCCTACAAAGCAAGACCCCCAAATCTCACACCCTGCAACCTAAACCCTAAACCCTAAACACCAAACCCCAAACCCTGCGCCAGACCAGTGATGTAAGGGGAGCCACTTGCTTTCTGAGTTTTTGCAGGGGGGAGGACGGTTCACCTCTGGGTTCTACTAAGGGGTGTTCACGGTTTAGGGCTTAGGCAAGTGGAGCCCTGGGTAAGGGGTCATTTAGCAATGGCGTTTTAGGGCTTCAGGGTTTCAGGGTTCGGGATTTAGGGCTAAACCCTAAACCCCAAACCCTAAACCCTAAACCCTAAACCCTAAACCCTAAACCCTAAACCCTAAAGCCTAAACCTCGCGTCGCGGACTCGCCTGTCTCTGCTTCCACGACATCCCGCCAGCGCTGTTGCAGGAAGGCCTGGCGAGAGGGGGGA